TAAACCCCTAAACCACTAAACCCCTAAACCCAAAGCCCCTAAACCCTAAACCCTAAACCCTAAACCCCTAAACCCTAAACCCCTAAACCCTAAACCCCTAAACCCTAAACCCCTGAACCCTAAATCCAACCCCTTTGTCACCTCCCGAAATCCAAGCCGAAATCCCATATTATAGGGTTTAAAATAAGAACCGACATAAACCCTAAACCCTAAACCCCTAAACCCCTAGACCCCTAAACCCTAAACCCTAAACGGGTTTTGGTAGGTTCAGGTAGACACCTCCCGAAATCCGAGCCGTAGGGCGAGATCCGGTCCATTGCCGAAGATCTGGTCGGGCACCCCAGCGTTTGCAAAAGTGGCCACTGCCCGGCCACGGTTTAGGGTTTAGGGTTTAGGGTCTGACATAACACCTAAATTACGCATTTAGGGTTTTTGGTGTTTTTTTTTTTGTAACGGGTTTTGGTGCATTCGGATTTGTGGCTCTCTGAGGTTTGGCGTAGGGTTGCAATTGACGTCAACTCCCAACTACCTTTAGAATGCGTACAAGGCCAGGCGGCTCCCGGTGGTGGGCCTTTATAAGCTTATGCGTTTCAATATTGAGTTTTGGTCGTGGGTTTTCGTGTGGTGTCACCTAGTTCTTGCAAAGAGTTTTAGAGCGTTGAGGTTGTGGGGCTGTGCGGGCGTGCGCGCGAGCAGAAGGGCAACGGCGCCCGGCACGAGGGCTATGATTGTCAACGTGGTGCAATCCCCAAACCCTATTAAACCCCAAATCCTAATACCCCAAACCCTAAACCCTNNTAAACCCTAACCCCCCCCCCCCCCACATGTGTGGGGATAGGGCGATCTTGCAGCAGGTTCTGATTTCGGCTCGAGGGTTCGGGGTTCCAGGGTTTATAGTCGTAATTGGGGGCCTCAATAATCACTTATAAGTATAGTAAAAAACCGTAATATAATTATAGTAGAACGGGCCCCGAAGCCTATTCTAACTAATAAGGCCCCCTTCATTAGCTTCAGTGTTTCGATCGTGGGGGGTTTCTGCCTGGGGCTCTTCGGTTTAGGGTCTACAGGGGTTTTGGAAAAAGCCCCTTCATGCGGGAAGTGTTTCTTTAAGTCATATGCCTGAATGTAGAGGTGTAGCAGGTTCTGAGTAGAGGTCCTCACGTTTCTATCCTAAGCCCTAAACCCCAAGCGCTCTTTTCGAGTCAAGGGGATTCAGTGTCTCACGTCTCAGGCTTTGGGCTTTAGAGTTCGAAAGTTGCTGCCACGCCGTAGGCCCTCCAGTCTACGAGATGCCGGTAGACGCCACATCCAAATCTCTGCGTCTTTTGGCTCCTGATTCCGAGCTTCCCAAATCCCGAAACCCTAAGCCCCGAAACCC